CATCCTCGCGTCTGGCGCGCCGGCCAGCGCGGGTCTCCGCCCGACGCTTGCTACTGTCGGTGGTTCCGGTGCGGGAGGCCCGCGGCGGGAGGCCTGAGAGATCTCGTTCGAACCCGCGCCGGGGCCCCGCGCCCACCGGCCCTCGACCCGCGGCGTGCCTCCTCCCGAGCATGCTTCGGAGGCTCGAGCCGCCGCCGCGGTGCGGGGGCGAGGAGGTGCGGGGTCACCGCGGCGAAGCGCGGAAATACCCGGCGATTCAGCGAGAGTCTACACAGCAGCGGTTCCGGAAAAGCCCTTGGCCACGAGCGAGCACCGATCACTCACAGCCCTCGTGCGTCCTCCGTGGGCTCGCTCCAGGGAACCAGCGCTTGCGACTCGAATTGGACGCCGGAATCGACCGTCGGAGGGCGGATCGCCCGACGAGAATGAAATCGAGTGCCCGACAACTCGAAGCCCGCCGCGGACGCCTCCTCCGACGAACGGTTGACTGTTCCACAGTCTTCACGCGTCTGTGGCTGCTCTGGATCTTCACGGACATACCGTGCGACTGACGAGAACGGCCGGCTCGCGGAACGCTCGACGCGGTGACGACTGGCGTGCAAGTGATCCTCCGCAGGACGACATGCCAGTTCGGAACCTCGCGCGGGCCGCCCGCGGCGTCGTGGAGACGCTCGTCGAGTACGACGGTGTGAAGTCGAAATCGACGACCGCGGGGCCGTCGGACGTGCCTCGGTCGCGAGGATCTCGGACGGTCCGCGAGTCGAAGAGATGTCCCCCCGGTGTGGGTCGGCGGGCCCGGGCGCTTCGGCACGCTCGTGAGACACCGGACGGAGCGACGGTGACATTTTGGCCTCGTTCCACGTCCGGGACAAGAACTGCAACATAAAAGATCACAAAGATCATGCATTTGCCACAAATTCGAGCGAGTCCTTCAAAAGTTGCGCTCAGCAAACGCAGCAAACGCGACGACTGAAAGGTGCGGTTCCCGGGGTCCGCGCGCGTCGCGTACGCCCTCCCGACCCCCCCTGACCCTTTTCCGACCCTTCCACGCCCCCACATCGCGAGGGGTCACCCTGGGTCACTGTGGTGAAACATTTCGCTTTTAGGCGCCGAGGAGCAAAAAGCGAGGGCGAGCGCCGATCATCATGATGTGCCGCGTGCTCGCGATGACGGTGGCGACGGCGGCGGCGCTCACGAACGGCACGGTCTTCGGCCTCCCCTACGCCGCGCGCCGCGGCGGGTCGGGCGTCGGCACGGCCGACGGCACGGAGCCGAACGTGACGTGCGACGTGGACTTCGACGTGGACGAGGACATGTACCCGTCGAGAGCGTCCTCGGACATCTTCTACGACGCCTTCGGCGAGGGGGGGACGCACGTCGAGTTCGGCTGGTCGCTCTACGACGCGCTCTACGACGAAGTGTTCAACGGCACGTCGGGCTACGGCACGCTGCGCGACGACTTCGCGTTCAACGGCACGTCGGGCTACGACACGATGCCCAACCCCGTCGACTACGAGTCCTTCAACGTTACGCCGGGCTACTTCCAGACCCCCCCCGAGGACCTCATCCACGTCCGCGGCATTATCGTCGGCGACGACGGCGACGCCGTCGACGGATTCCTCTACGCGGGCGGCGGCGGCGGCGACCAGGGCGGCCCCGGCGGCGGCGGGGGTGGAGGCGGCGGTCCCACCGCGGCGAGGCTCGACGGCTACCTTCGGGTGGGGGCCTCCCTCTACAAGATTGAGGACTACGCGAAGCTCAAGTCGCAGGAGTTCTACCTACCCCTACCTACCTACCGCAAGTACATCCGCGACATCAACGAGGCGACGTGGCGGTCGCTCAAGGTCGACGAGGGCCGCGGCGACGAGGGCGACACGCTCTTGCCGGCGGCAGCGCCCTCGGCCGCGGCCGCGACGTCCGCGGCGCCCTCGGCTGCGACGCCGAAGCCGAAGCCGAAGCCGAAGCGCCGAGGCTGGTTCTTCGGCCGGCTCAGGGCGACGAAGGCGAAGAAGAAGAATGTCGGCGCGCCGAACCGCGTCGAGGACGCGACGGGCCTCGAGGGCGAGGGCGACGTCG